TGTGCAAGAAGACGATGCTAATTCACCAGAGCCTGGGCCTGAGTTTGAGTCCGAGAATGTGCAAGAAGACGATGCTAATTCACCAGAGCCTGGGCCTTATTGCGCCGATAGCTGCCACGCTCACACAAAAAGTGAAAGATGTGTTCGAGCACCAAAGAGGTATCAAGAGCAATGAACGATGCAGGTGTGAGACTTAGAGGGGGAAAGATGTGATTTTTTGTTGTGAGGCTTAGGAGGGTAGAGGTGTGATTGGTTGTTGGTGTGAGACTTAGTAGGAAAGATGTGTGAGGTGATTCACCTCTCGTGTCGGTTTGGCCGACACGAGGGAAGAGGAAGAAGTGAATAAAGGACTTTTTGCGTGCCTGACTCCATGCTAAAAGCTTGCCCTTTTCCCACATCGAACAAAAAGTACGGAGGACAAAGAACGAGGAACAGACAGATTGGTCTGTGTGTTTCTCGTTCTTTGTCCTCCGTACTTTTGCGCTGTTTCCCCCTTCGCAAGAGCGCGAAAAAGGGACGAGAGTCAAGAGGTTATGACTTGCGGGGGCTGTACGAGGCTGACGTCATGACCTCTCCATGTTCTTTAAACTCCTTGTGTGGTGCATCGTCGATATCGTCGGTACTTTCTCCAGTAATTATTATCGTTATTCTTGTTCAACTCACTTGCACCTCTGTGTTAATTGCATTATCGTCACTTTTCTTCGCCCCGTAAGATTCCCGCGAAGTTTGCCAACCGAAAGTTGTCAAAAGAGACCAAGAGGGGGGTGTGCAACATGTGCGCACAAGTGAGACAGAGGGAATCGGGACTCTCCATTGTTTTTGTATGCTGGTTTGTTAGCGAGCTCACCGGCTCGAGCACGGTTCGGGATTGAGCACAGGATTCTTGGATTCTTCAGCGCGAGCTTTCGGTATACGTATTCCGAGCCGTGGTTTGCCACCAATCACCATTAGGGCCGACGGTAACTGAACGCAATCCAAATGGGATTTGACTTAGTGTAGCGTGCGTTTTCTCATATCTCGACGTATCGTGCCCGCGCTATGCTTTTGCAGCCTCAAAAGAATTTACGTGTCATTAACCTCAAAACTGTAGCGCTGATGATATTCAATGTATTTAATGAATCGACGCCGCATATGATAGAATGCGACGAGAGGGTTCAGGGTGAAATGTACCTTGTAAAATGGCCCGAGTGCTTCATTGAAAACGTTGGCTTGTGTGTAGGAACGGGCGAAACGCAAAGAAAGAGACGGATGTGCTTGCATGCTCGGCAAACAGAGTTCGGCCCCCCCCCCCCCTTCCCCCCCCCCCCCCCCCCCCCCCCAACCACGATCTTCATGCGAAGAGACGAACTGTAGCAAATACGTATCTGTCATGCCCAAACCGAAACTAAAAGCAAGAAAGTGAGGGAACTACTTGGCGCTATAATGCAATGACGTTAGCTCCCCTGTGGCTCTCTCTTCATTGCCACAGAAAGTTAAGTTTAGAGCGATTTCACTGACGTAATGCCGTTCACCATTTTGTTCTGAGCTGTCTGGCGCGTGCTAAAAGAGTATTTCGAGGATTCGTATGATTTCCTCAAATAAAGAGTGGACAAATGCTCGTAAGTTTCATCACGCCTTATTTTTCTGATAAATAAAACATTTTCTTACTCACTCACTCTAACAACAAAATGGCGGATTGACGTAATGTGAAAACACCCTAAAGAGAGGCTAGATTGAAGAGAGGGTCTACCTCAAATCATGGGAAGCGCTTGCAATTTAAAGGGGCCATGAAATTATATTTTACCTTCATCCTTCTAGCTTTCCTCCTCAACTCACAAATCACGCAGTTACCCAAGGTACAGGGGCAAGAGTATACCACTAGCAGATCAAGACGAGGGAAAGGAGGAACTCCCATCTTGTTCGGACCTTCCACTGTGTACCCGCACGTCGCCATTTTCCTCCTATGACTTTATTTCTTCTTGTGTAACCGCAGCGGAAGGCTAGGGGCCTGCATAGCCAATCAAGCACCAGTTTAGAGGTGACGTCAGCTGGCTCCTCGGGTGTGTATCAGTGAGCGAGTTAAAATTACGCTGCTTAGAAGTCTGCCGTTGATGCGGCGCAGATGAAACGTTCTTGTCTGCCGAGTTCTAGAAAATTCGGACTTCGTGTGCTTAGCCCGATTTACTGCACAAGTTCAAGTATCTTGGGGGATCGTGGCTACAACATTTTGACGCACCGAGGTTAACGCGCAGCTGCGCAGCCTCCATTATGTGAGGGGGATCGGCGGAATGGTACGGTATGCTGACCGTTCACGTCGAGCGGAAGCAGGGTCCGCAGAAAGTCTTCGCTTCACTTCTTGTGCTGCACGCAAAATTAGACTTTTCTGTCGCGCAACGAACCAGGTAGGTTTCAGCAATGAAATGTCGACACCAACCTAACGCCCTTGCCAAGTGCCTCGCCTGCATGGACTCTCAGGCCAGGGCTCGTGTCTCGGATTTGAAAGTGCCTATGCCGACTACTAACTGTACTAACACTACACTACAGAGAGCTGTTGGGAACTGACTGACGAAGCACATGAGGTAGAACGAAGCTGTTTTTGTCCTTTTTTGCAGCGCCAATAAGGGCACGTGGCACTGACGAATAAACGTATTTTTGCCGGCGACACCAGACATGCTGCCACTGGCACTCTTTATCCGCATTCTCCATATCTCAGATGTTTTTTGAACGATTGCTCTGTACAGTCGCTCGAATGCCCAGAACAAAGTTTTGAGCCTCCGAGCGAGTGTACAGATTCAGCCGAATTTGCCACCCTTCTCTTCCAGATACGATTTTTTTTTTTTTGTGCAAAACTGTTTGGAGGCGAGCTAGCGAAGAAAATGGGAGCCCCCGGCAGAGACGGGCCTCCCATTCCGCGGTCATTATGGCGAACGAAAGTAAAGCATGGAACACATGAGCGGTGAAACTGGGCACCGCACGACATTCGGCGCTCTCTGCTAGGTGCATTTCAGGCGCACCGCGTGGCATTATCTGTATCGACCAGATCCAACGTTGACGAAATCCGAGCGACGCCGTGCCGCGCGGAAGTGACGTAGGAACGCCAGCACCGGTAAAGTATTTGCTACGATGCTGCCGCATTGCCTTTCTCTCTCCCCCCCTTTCTTTTTTCTTGCTTTCTCTCTCTTTCTGCCTCTGAACGTGTTCGTCACCTCCTCGCAGCTCGTATTGCGAATGGGACCCATAAACCACGTGACCGTATCGAGCACTTGAAAACTCTGTAATACGGGAATTGCTATTTCCACAGCCTTAACCTTAAAACCTCAAAATAAACCTTAAAATGCAATCTGTAATTATTAGAGAATGCATTTTAAGGTTTATCAGCCGAATTCGCTTTGACAACGACAACATTTCTTAGTAGGAACAAATAAATTAACCTTTGTTCTTTCGCCTTCCTCAAACTTATATCTGTCTGGCATGTGTTGGCTTAACACCAAGGCGTTAACTAAATAGGCGAATGGGTCTTTCTTATTGCAGGCCACTGTACACTGAAGTAGTTGATTGTAGCTGGTAAAATTTAAAGACATATCTCCTTTCCTTTGAGAGATAAGACCAACAAATGTACCAGGCTCAACGGTGGGCAAATTTGCAGACGATCGAGTCAGCGATGCTAGAGGCCCTCTAAGCGATGCTAGAGAGCCTGTATTACAGAGAGAGTCCAACTGCTCGATCGGGGTCACGTGGTTTGTGGGCCGAGGTCGCAATACGAGCTGCAAGGAGGAGTCGAAAGCGTTGATCGTCTGCAAACGTCTCCGCCTTTCCTCCTGCTTTCCCCCTCGCCACGTAAACATCTCGGCGTCGGCGATGGCGGACGTGCTGTAGCAGCTGTGGCTGTAGCCATGAGTCCTTCGCGTGGTTGCTGTTTAAAAAAATGAGAAAAGAACGTTCCGCTTTTGTCCTGTGTGATTTAGAGGTCGGCTCCGATCAGGCGCTGTCCGAGGGGTAGTGTTAACAGGGGAAATGAAAACGTGCTGCCGTCTTCGGATGTAGTGGGGGCGTTCACGACGGTGTGTCGCATTTTAAACTTTTGGGACGATTGACAGATTGAGAGCTCTTTCTTGATTCGGTGGATGGTGGTGCATGTCTCTTTTTAGTTGGTGGAGCGATTTGTCTGGTTAATTCCGATAACGAACGAGACTCTAGTCCAGGGGTGGCCAGGCTGACCCGGCCTAAGAGCCGCAAACAAAACCACGAAACTTTCAAGAGCCACGGGGGGGGGGGAGGGGCAGCATTTTTGTCCAGAGCAATAAACGAAACTCGAACTACTTTCTATCTATCCGAGTCAAAAGCGGTCCAACTGCACACTGTAAGAAAAGCCCGTGCGTCTACTTTCTCGCAAAACACTCGGAGAGCCAATCACCGCAACTTACGGAGGCAGCTCAGCGAATGACGATGTCGAAGCATATGTTTAGACCAAAAAAACACAGTCTGAGTTGTGACATTAAGCAATGCAAAACGTCACGCCTGCATTGCGTAATGTCAAAACTCAGACTGCGTTTTTTGGTCTACGTATGTTTCGGCCTCGACATTCGCTGAGCTGCCCCCGTAAGTTGCGGTGATTCGCTCTCCGAGTGTTGTGCGGGAAAATGGACGCACGGGCTTGTTTTAGAGTGAGTAAGTAAGGTGGTAGCAGTAGCACAAGACTTCCACACCGCAACCTGTCTTTCAATTTGAAACGCGTTCCATTTCTCTTTTTGCAGCCTCCTCTCGTGTGACCGGGAGGGAGACGGGAAAGTAGGGGGAGGGGGGGTAGTAGGGGAGGGAGCCGCGAGCGCACTTTAACACGCGAAGAGCCGCATGCGGCTCGCGAGCCGCAGCTTCGCCACCTCTGTTCTAATAGGCCCTTCATTTTTCAGGGGGTGTACATTGGGTGAACGTTTGAGTCTTTTATGAGTAGGAGCCAATCTTTCCGGTTCGTTTTGTAGCGCAGAGATTAATTGTGGAAACCCTCTAGTCCAGACGGTTACCCTTGAAGGCGACCTTCTCGAGGTATCGCTTGAGCGTGTGGCCCTGGATGCCTTTGTCCATGGCGGGGCAGAGTCCCTGATGCTGGGCGCCGCAACGGTCCCTCTGCAGGTCGTGCAGGGCGTGCGCGAATGCGTAGGCTGCATCGCGCACGAACTGCAAACCCCGGTAGCCCGCCTTCACGTGGAGGCGACGGCGAGCACTCGGACACCAGAGCCGGAACTGGCTGTTGAACGGTGTCTCCTGCGAGCGACGTTTGACACGCCTTCAGCAAGTCCAAACTATAAAAAAAGATTACGAAAAAAAAAAAAAAAACTCGCAGCGATTTTTGTTTTTAAAAATCCTATAATGTATTAAATTAAGAATTTAAAAAGCGATTATGTAAATTTGCTTCAAAGGCATTATACAGGCGCTTCTGACATTGAAGAATCTATATTGACACTGAATGTGTTATATAGCTGGCACGTAACCATTTACGGTATTCAACCAGAGACGCAAGTCAAGAGGCCGACTGCTAGTCGAACCTTAAAGCAGCGCTAATTTTTTTACTAAATGGACACCAGTGCCAGCCGGACGTCTTCGTCAAGTTCGTCCGAAGAGGGGAAAACATCACGTGTTGAGACTTACATCGGCGCTCTTCTCCGCAAAATGAGCGCGTTCTGGGCGTCCCCATAGAGGAAGAGCGCAAGAGCGAGCGAGAGGAAAGCAGAGGAAAAGAGAACATACGCTACTAGCGTTAGGCGTGCTCAGTTGGTGCGCTGATTCATTCGGCGCTGTAGATTGCCTAGATTTGATTAAGAGAGGGCGTAACTTGTGGAGCCATCTCCCAATAGGTGCAGCGAGCAGACGATGTACTTTGTTGTGTGCTCGCTGCGCCCGTCTGAAGATAGCGCCAGAAGTAAATAGCGTTGGTAACTCTGTCGTCTGCGAACGCGACCAACCCTGACTTTGGCAAGCAATGAATACCAAAACCTTTGGCAAGGTTTTGGTATTCATTTTTTTTTTTGCAGAAAGAGATCTGCGCTTTGTTATTTCACACGGTAAAACTGACCTGCTCAGTGCACATTCGGTGAAAGTGAGTTTTCTATGCGCAGATGGCTGCTACTGGGCCATCGAGCAAATTTTATAAAAAAAAAGGACCACCTGTGGGCAACGCTGCACAAAATCGTAGCGCGATAGGTTAAGAAGCCGAATTTTGCAGTCGATTTAAAGAGCCTGGCTGCTATTTGAGACACCCGGTATGTATATTGTAACAGCCATGATACTAGCGCCACCGCCACAGTGAGTGGTAGACGACAATAAAGACGAAGTGACTTGCTTCCTACCCGCTGCACCGGATGCCTCGCTGACTGATACATGGTGTCAGAAGTGGTTCGAACGTCATCACAAGCCCTGCGGTAGCCTCAGCCATGAAAGGACTGGAACCGCCAGAGCCGCTCCAGCTTTCAGGCAACGTTGCTGAGAACTGGAGGCGTTTCAAGCAACGGTTCGAAATCTTCATGACAGCTACGGAGCCACCCGCCAAAAGGAAGGAGGGACAGAAGATCGCGTTGTTGCTTCATGTTGCCAGGGAGCAGGCCGTGGAAGTCTACGACACCTTCAACATCGAGGGGGAGCAAACCTACGAGGCCGTGGTAGAAAAGTTTCATAACTACGGTTCTCCCAAGAAGAATGAAACGTACGAGCGTTACGTATTCAGGATGCGAGAGCAGGCAGAAGGTGAGCTGTTTGAGCAATTCTACAGAGACCTTTTGTTGAAGGCTAAGACCAGCGAATTTGGCAGTTCGGCAGACTCAATGATCAGAGATCAAATAGTGTATGGTATATCGAACAAGAAACTACGTCAAAGGCTGTTGCGAGAGCAGGACTTATCGCTTACCAGAGCAGTGGACATGTGTAAAGCGAATAAAATAGCGGAAAAACAAAACAAAGTTTGGGACAAGCCAGAAGAGTCCGTTCTCAGTATTCACCAGACAACTAAAAGACGTTCGACGGTGCCAGTGGAAGCACCACCTAGACGATCGACCGCTGTCGAAAGTGTAACTTCATTTACAGAGGAACAGGCTGTCCAGCAACAGGAAAATGATGCAAGAGATGCCATCGCCAAGGTAATTTCGCGTCTTGCTGTCCGAAGCAACGAGTGAACGCGATAACTAACGAAAGCGACGATCAAGCCACGGATGCCGGGAGTGACTGAAATTCTGGAGTTGGGAGCACGCACTTCTGCAAGTAATCAAGCAGAGTGGCTGGTACCGGCGAAGGTAGCTGAAGGATATCATGCTGAAGATTGATACTAGAGCCCAAGCAAACTTGTTGCCACTGTCGTGGTGGAAACAAGCAGGCAGGAGTGCGGATTTGCGAAGGAGCACGGCAATTTTGCGCCGTTACAGTGGCGGCATAATTTCACACGCAGGAAAAGCATCCTTGACTGTGGAGTGCAACAACACAAAAAAAAAAAAAAAAAAAAAAAAAACTCATCGAGTTCTTTATTGTAAAAAAGTCGCGGGCTCCCATTCTCGGTCTCCAGGCCAGTGAACTCCTTGGACTCATGAATCGTGTTTTGGCAGTTTCCTGCGATAACTTGAGAGCAGTTACCTCCGAATTCCGAGAGGTGTTCCAGGGGTTAGGTTGTGTGAAACGGGCGTACCACATGGTGCTAAAGGAAGGAGCCAGGACAACGGTGCAAGCAGCCCGGCGAGTCCCTCAAGCTTTGCGGCAGTTACTTGAGAGGGAGCTGCAGCGCTTAACCGCCGCAAACGTTATCCGGAAAGTGGATGAGCCAACTGACTGGGTGAGTCCTTTGGTTATTGCGCTAAAAAAATGACGGACAGCTCAGGGTATGTCTGGATCCCCGGAACATAAACGAGTGGGTGAAGCGAGAGCATTACCAACTTCCCGAAAGGGAAGACATTGAGGCAGAGCTCTCTGATGCACGATGGTTTTCAACCCTTGATGCAAATTCTGGGTTTCGCCAAATACCGTTAGATGATGAGACCACGAGAATCTGCACATTTGCTACTCCATTTGGAAGATACCAGTATCTCCGGCTACCGTTTGGAATAGCTTCTGCACCGGAAGTATTTCAGAAAACCATGTCTAAAATGCTTGAGGGTTTACCCGGAGTTCGAGTATACATCGATGACATTCTAGTGTGGGGTAGAACACAGGCCGAGCACAATGGCAGATTACGCGCTGTACTGCAGAGAGCCAGTCAAGAGGATCTCACGTTCAACATGAGCAAGTGCAAAGTGGCCCGCAGGGAAATTGAGTTCTTGGGGGACATTATTAATGAAAATGGTATCTCCCCAAGCCCCGCTCTCGTTAAGAGCATTCACAATTTTCCACAACCAGTAGTAAGAAAGAAGTGCAAAGATTATTGGGGTTTAAAAACTACTTTGGTAAATTTTTGCCTAACTTGTCCTTGAGGACAACGTTAATGCGCGGAGTTATTGAGGACAGCTCAACGTTCCAGTGGTCTGACGCACACCAAATAGAATGGGAACGTTTCAAAAATCTAATATCTACAACCCCAGTGCTCGCACTCTTTGGTCCGGCAAAACCCACGAAAGTATCTTCGGATGCTTCAAAATACGGGATAGACGCGGCGCTCTTACAACGACATGTTGAGGGATGGAAACCAGTGGCCTACGCTTCAAGAGTCTTGTCTAGTGCGGAAACACGCTATTCGCAAATTGAAAAAGAGGCTCTTGGAGTCACTTATGGCCTTGAAAAATTCCACCACTTTGTGTACGGGCGGCGAGTTATAGCGGAAACTGACCATAAACCTCTGATGGCGATTGCACAAAAAAGTGTAGGAGATATGCCACCGCGCTTGCAGCGTTCCTTCTTGAGGCTCATGAAGTATGAGTTCCAGCTGACGTACGTCCGTGGCAGAGAGTTGGTGGTTCCAGACGTCCTTTCGTGAGCACTTCCTTCTGGGCAGCCAAGCGGCACAGAACTAACCGATGTTGAGGTGCATGCATTGGAGCTTCAGCACAGCCTAGTAAGCGAAGCAACTAAGATTCAGCTCGTGCGTGAAACTGCTCGGGACACTGTCCGCACAGACGTAATTAACTGTCTCCGAGCAAACCTTCCTATTCATGGACAGTACAAACCTTTCACCGGGGATTTAACAGAAGTATGTGGAGCTTTGTTTAAGGGCAAAAGGGGGGTCATCCAGAGACCATGCGCCAGCGAATACCCGAGAGGATACACGATGGCCATCTTGGTATCAATAAGTGTAAAGCACGAGCAAGGCAGCTAGTTTTCTGGCCCGGCATTAATGAAGATATATCGAGAATGATTCACCGGTGCTCAATCTGTCAACAGTTTGCGTACAAGCAACCGAACGAGCCACTAATGATGCGTGAGGTTCCAGGCATACCATGGACGCGCGTTGGTGTAGACCTCTTCGAGCAGGTGGGGAACACGTACCTAGTTGCCTATGATGCCTTTTCCAACTTACCAGAGGTATGCTGAGAGAGGCAACATCAGAAACTGTTATTTGGTCATTAAGCAGCATGTTTGCTAGACACGGAATACCTCTAGAGGTGTGCAGCGACAACGGTCCACAGTTCTCGTCACGTCAGTTCCAGAGCTTCGCTTTCAAGTATGATTTTAAACACACGACGTCCAGTCCCCATTTTCTACGTTCCAACGGTCTTGCAGAAAAGGGTGTGCAAGTGGTTAAATGAATACTGCGGAAAACTGCTGAAGCTAATGAAGACTTCTGGCTGGGATTGCTTGGTTACAGGTCAACACCCCTGGAGGATGGCCTGTGCCCCATCGAGCTTCTAATGGGACGTCGCATTAGGTCCCGTCTTCCTGACTTCGCGCCAGCAGTTCCAAAACCAGCCAGAAAACACACACAGGATAACACCAAAGGATGTCTTTTGAGGCCGCTACAGGAAGGTGACGTGGTATGTCTGATGGACAAAGGACAGTGGGTCACAAAGGGCCAAGTGTTAAGGAACGTGGCGCCTCGTTCTTCACTGGTTGTCACGCATGATGGCCGGGAATGTCGACGCAACAGAGAACACCTGCGACCGACGAATGAAGATCTGATGACTTCCGATTACTTTGAGGAGCACCTGGAGGATTCCCCAGCCTGTGCCCTGACCAGCATTCAAGCTGCACCGGCTGCATTGACCCCAACAGTGCAGCATGATGATCCAGCCATCCAAACCACAGTCGCTACTTCAACGAGAACTCCGACCAGCTCCCCAGCTGCAGTCAACTCCGCA